GCAAATCATCACAGAAACACACTTCATTGTGATTTTCATATTTCATGTTTTCCTGTCTTAGGAAAACTTGTGTTTTTTTGGTCTGAGGCAGAGATACATAAGGGCAAGATGTTAGATTATTTTACTAATATGCCTTCGCCCAAAACTTTTTCTCCAAAGTAAGTTACAGGAATGTTGTTCTATACTAACTTGTTTGGTGAGCATTGTAAAAGTAGGACTATCTGTAGCCCGGAAATGTCAACTGTTAAGAATTCAGCAATTTCCTGTAGAAATGAACAGTAAAATCTATGGCGTTCTCAAAATAGAACACCTGCATTAGAAGCCTTGACTCTGACCTGCGAAGTGGTGCAGGTTTTAGGGCTGGCCAGATTGTTTCTCCTAATATGGGACAAAATCCCAAATCCAGGACAGCTGTGCAGAGAGGAAAAATGAGAGGAAAAACTTGTTTCTCTGTTCTTGGTGCTACTGGAATCTGTCACATGATGTTTAATTGAGGTGAAGAAGAGAGATGGATTTTATAGATTGCTTGAAAATGTGTAACTCCCAAGCAACCTGAACATCTGGGAAGAGTCCGGCAGGGCAGAGGGCTACCCTGAACAAACTAAGCCTCCAGAATAGTCAGCATCAATAAAGTGAAAACGAAGCCTCTTTCCTCAGTTCCCTCACTAACTCATCCATCCATTCATCATTTATTGAGTGTCTACCATTGTGTCAGTTAGGGTCCAATCAGGAGATAGAAGCCACACCAACAATTTGAATGGGGAAATTTTTTGTGAGTGTATGTGTGTCAATCCTCACTTAAGGGTACTCTTTTTCCATTGATTTTTAGAGAGAGTTGAAGGGAGGAATGAAGGAAACCGGGGGGGGGAAGAAAAAAATATATTGATGTTGCTTCCTGCATCCGGGGGGCAGGGATGAAACCTGCAACCCAGGTACATGCCCTTGACCGGGAATCAAACCTGCAATCCTTCAGACCACGGGCCAACACTCTAACCATTGAACAAACTGGCCAGGGCAGTGAGTGGAGAAACTTTAATGGGAAGAATGGTTAACTACTAAGAGGGTAAAGAGATCTCTAAAGAATCTTGGAACAGCAGGTGTAGGGAAGCAGGTATCATCCCCAAGGCTTAGGAAAGCACTCAAGGAAGGAACAAACTTGCGAGCTGGTCTCCTCTCGAGGATGAGATGCAGACTTCATGGGAGAAGGTGTGGCTGTGGCCCACAGGCCAGTGGAGGATCTCACTGCAGTGCTTCCAGGAGCTTCCCACTGCAGCACCAGCGAAACTCTCCGGAAGCAACCTGCTGGGGTTGTGGACCACTAGGTCTCCCACAGGAACTGCCCCTGGCCACTGTGTCATAGGAGCAAGAAGAAAAGCACCAGAACCCCAAAGAAAAGCCCCTTCCTCTCGCAGTGTCCCTCCAGTGCCCTCTACTGACAAACCTGAAGTTGCATCCGCTGGCAAAGGAGGGTCCAGCTCCAAAGCCACAAAATGTGGCAAAGAAGAACGGATTTGGAGCATAGGCAATACACCGGTAACTGGCGTAACCATGATTTAGTTGCTCTGCTAGACACAGTATTAAAAGATGAATGAATACATGTAGTCCTTTCCCTTTAAAAGCTTATTATCGCGGTGAAGCAAGTCTCTACATGAAATTCAGGACCAAGTTTTTTTTTGGTTTTGTTTCCTTTTTTAAAAAGCTACTGTCTTTCTAAGCCCTCCGAGCTTCTCTGAAAACCACCATGTATGTTCAAGAACATATTGCTAAGTCATTCCCTGATTTAAATTAACCCAAATCCATGTAATATACATATACAGAAGAAGCTAGCCCTGGAGCCACACTGGCCGAGTTGAAATCCTGGTTCCTCCACTTACTGATCTTGTGACTTTGGGCAAGTTACTTAGTCTATCTGTCCTCCATTTTCTCCTCTATAGAATAAGGATACAAATAGTC